ACACCACAACAACACACACCACCACCACAACAACCACACACACCACAACAACACCACCACAACCACCAACACCACCACACCACAACAACCACACACACCACAACAACCACACACCACCACACAACACACCACACACACCACAACACCACCACAACAACCACCACACACACCACCACACACACCACACCACCACCACACCACCACACACACCACCACAACAACCACACCACAACCACACACAACACACCACAACACCACCACAACAACAACACACACACCACACCACAACACACACACCACAACACACCACACACTACCACAACAACCACCACAACACCACAACACACCACACACCACACAACACACACAACCACCACCACACACAACAACACCACACAACCACCACAACACACACCACCACAACACCACCACACCACACCACACCACCACAACCACCACCACCACACAACACAACAACACACAACACACCACACACACAACAACCACAACAACAACCACCACACTACCACAACAACCACAACACACCACACTACCACAACACACCACACACTACCACAACCACACACCACCACACACCACACACACACACAACACACCACACAACACACACACACACCACACAACCACACACACACCACCAACTACCACACTACCACCACCACACACACACACACACCAACACACTACCACAACACCACACACCACACAACCACACACACCACAACACCACACCACCACCACACACACACAACACACACACACACACCACCACACCACACCACCACCACCACACACTACCACCACAACCACAACAACACACCACACCACAACACCACCACACACACAACACAACACCACCCACAACACCACACAACACCACAACACAACACAACACCACAACACACACACACACCACAACAACACCACACACCACACAACACCACAACACACCACAACAACACACCACCACAACACACACCACCACAACACCACCACAACACCACCACAACAACACCACACACCACCACACACCACCACACACACCACAACAACCACCACACACACACCACAACACAACCACCACACCACCACCACAACCACAACAACACCCACAACACACACACAACCACAACACCACCACAACACCACACAACACACCACACAACCACCACACACACCACTACCACACCACACCACCACACACCACAACAACCACCACACACCACAACACCACCACAACACCACAACAACCAACACACCACCACAACCACACACCACCAACACCACACACCACAACCACACACCACACAACACAACACCACAACACAACACCACAACACCACAACAACCACCACAACCACAACAACACCACACACCACAACACAACAACACACCACACAACACACACCACCACCACACACAACACCACCACAACAACCACAACACCACCACACACTACCACAACAACCACCACACCACAACCACACACACACCACACACCACACCACAACACACACCACAACACCCACACTACCACCACAACACCACACTACCAACACAACACCACACTACCACACACACCACACACCACAACACAACAACCACCACACACCAACACCACCACACAACACAACCACCACACTACCACACCACCACAACAACACACACAACCACCACACTACCACAACACCACACCACAACACCACACACACAACAACCACCACACACACACAACCACACACCACACCACAACAACAACCACCACACAACCACAACAACCACCACACTACCCACAACCACACACACTACACACAACAACACACCACAACAACCACCACACCACCACAACAACACCACACACCACAACAACCACCACACACCACAACACCACACTACCACCACAACCACCACACTACCACAACAACCACCACACTACCACAACAACCACCACACTACCAACACAACCACCACACCACAACAACCACCACACCACAACAACCACCACACCACAACAACCACCACACTACCACAACCACCACACCACCACAACAACCACCACACTACCACCAACCACCACACCACCACAACAACCACCACAACAACCACCACACCACCACAACACCACACACACCACAACACCACCACACTACACACACCACACACACCCAACACCACCACACTACCACAACACCACACACTACCACAACCACCACACTACCACAACAACCACCACACTACCACAACAACCACCACACTACCACAACACCACACTACCACACACACACACCACAACAACCACCACACTACCACAACAACCACCACAACAACCACCACACCACACCACAACAACCACCACACACCACACACCACAACACACACACCACACCACACCACACTACCACACCAACACACCACACTACCACAACCACACACCACACAACACACCACCACACACCACAACACCAACACACCACAACAACCACCACACCACAACCACCACACAACCACACCACCACCACAACAACCACAACACACACCACAACCACCACCACCACACCACAACACCACACACCACCACACACCACACACAACAACACACCACCACACCACACCACCACCACACACCACAACACCACACCACCACAACACCACCACCACAACCACCACACCACAACCACCACACACCACAACACACCACAACACAACCACAACCACACCACAACAACCACAACACACCACCACACACCACACACCACAACCACACACACCACCACCACACCACACCACCACACACAACCACCACACCACCACAACACCACCACACACCACAACAACCACCACAACAACCACCACACACCACACACCACACACCACCACACCACCACACACAACACCACACAACCACCACACACCACCACAACACACCACCACAACACCACAACACCACCAACACACCACAACACCACCACAACAACACCACACAACCACCACACACACCACAACAACCACCACACACCACACAACCACAACACCACCACAACACCACAACACCACACACAACCACCACAACACCACACAACCACACAACAACCACACACAACACACCACAACAACACACACAACACAACCACACCACAACACCACCACACACAACACACACAACCACACAACACCACAACAACCACAACAACCACCACACAACCACCACACACCACAACAACCACCACAACACCACACACCACAACCACCACCACAACCACAACACACCACCACACAACAACACCACACACACAACCACCACAACACCACCACAACAACCACCACACAACACCACAACACACCACACCACACACACACTACCACAACAACCACCACACTACCACAACAACCCACACTACCACACACCACCACAACAACCACCACACCACCACCACAACAACCACCACACTACCTCAACAACCACCACACCACCTCAACAACCACCACACTACCACAACAACCACCACACTACCACAACACCACCACACTACCACAACAACCACCACACCACCACAACAACCACCACACTACCACAACAACCACCACACTACCACAACAACAACTACACTACCTCAACAACCACTACACAACCAACACAACCACCACACTACCACCACAACCACCACACTACCACAACACCACAACAACCACCACACACACAACCACAACCACCACCACAACACCACCACCACCACACCACCACAACAACCACCACACCACAACAACCACCACACTACCACAACAACCACCACAACAACCACCACCACCACCACAGCAACCACCACACAGCTCACCATAACTACTGCCCACATAAACAACAACACAAACTAGGGGAAACATTCTCCTTCCAATGTGTTCCCAAATGATCTGATGTTCCCATCAGGAAAATTGGAACATCAAATGATCTGATGTTCCCATCAGGAAAATTGGAACATCAAATGATCTGATGTTCCCATCACTGAAAAATAAGAAAAGTTAAAAAAAGATATGAAAATCAATGAAAAATAAAAAAAAATAAACTATACTCACGACATGAACGGTATGGTAAACAACACAACTCAATTCCAACGCAATGTCGCACAAAATAATTAAATCAAAATGAAAATAATTTGAAATCTATGAAAATTCAATATATCAATGCAATCGGAAACATTGAAATGGATTTGTAATATATTTACTATAACATGTGTTGCTCTTACCTGCAACAAATGGCGCTGTTTTTCAAAAAAGCATGTTTTTTACCTGTCACAGGTGTGGTATCTATATAGTAGGTATATAAAAACACCCACATACTCGAATCGAACGTTGTGTCAAAATTTCAAACCAATTGGTGAAGAATTTTCAGAGATTACAGTGTGTGTTGCTTTTACGGCAACAAATGGCGCTGTTTAAAAAAAATGTTTTTACCTGTCGCAGGTGTGGCTCAGCACAGCATGTATATTGTAGGTACATAAAAACACACGTGTGTATTAGAATGCAACGTTGTGTCAAAATTTCAAAGCAATCAGTAGAGAGGTATCAGAGATTTCCCTCACATGAAAACTCATATGAAATTTTTTTTTTTTTTAATAGCATGTTTTTACCTGTCACAGGCATGACATCTATATAGTAGGTATATAAAAACACGCTCATATGCGAATGGAACGATGTGTCAAAACTTGAAAGTAATCGGTGAAGAACTTTCGGAGATTTGTGGTTTTGAACAAACGAACATTTACATTTTTATTTATATTTATTATTATTATTATTATTATTATTATTATTATTATTATTATTATTATTATTATTGCACAAAGATATGACATTAATGTGGTGTATCAATGAGGTAATGAGTAGAGGCGTCCACTGATGTTCTCGTTATTATTATAATTACTATTATAATTATTAATAGTAATAGTGGAGTAGTTTAATAAAGTACAATGGTGGTGTTGTGTCCTCAGGTGGAGCTTGTGAGACCTGGGAGGTGGTGAGGTCCAGCGCCGGCCCTGGGGCTACCCCAGCCCCCACCCCAGCCCCCCACCACGCCATGATCCTCCCTTGTCAGGTACTGTGACCCCTACTGTGTCCTGCCCCCCACCCCAGCCCCCCACCACGTCATGATCCTCCCTTGTCAGGTACTGTGTCCCCCTACTGTGTCCTGCCCCCACCCCAGCCCCCCACCACGCCATGATCCTCCCTTGTCAGGTACTGTGTCCCCCTACTGTGTCCTGCCCCCACCCCAGCCCTCCACCATGCCATGATCCTCCCTTGTCAGGTACTGTGTCCCCCTACTGTGTCCTGCCCCCACCCCAGCCCCACACCACGCCATGATCCTCCCTTGTCATGTACTGTGACCCCCTACTGTGTCCTGCCCCCACCCAAGCCCCCCACCACGCCATGATCCTCCCTTGTCAGGTACTGTGACCCCCTACTGTGTCCTGCCCCCACCCCAGCCCCCCACCACGCCATGATCCTCCCTTGTCAGGTACTGTGTCCCCCTACTGTGTCCTGCCCCCACCCCAGCCCCCCACCACGCCATGATCCTCCCTTGTCAGGTACTGTGACCCCTACTGTGTCCTGCCCCTACCTCAGCCCTCCACCACGCCATGATCCTCCCTTGTCAGGTACTGTGTCCCCCTACTGTGTCCTGCCCCCACCCCAGCCCCCCACCACGCCATGATCCTCCCTTGTCAGGTACTGTGACCCCCTACTGTGTCCTGCCCCTACCTCAGCCCTCCACCACGCCATGATCCTCCCTTGTCAGGTACTGTGACCCCCTACTGTGTCCTGCCCCCACCCCAGCCCCCCACCACGCCATGATCCTCCCTTGTCAGGTACTGTGTCCCCCTACTGTGTCCTGCCCCCACCCCAGCCCCCCACCACGCCATGATCCTCCCTTGTCAGGTACTGTGACCCCCCTACTGTGTCCTGCCCCCACCCCAGCCCCCCACCACGCCATGATCCTCCCTTGTCAGGTACTGTGACCCCCTACTGTGTCCTGCCCCCACCCCAGCCCCCCACCACGCCATGATCCTCCCTTGTCAGGTACTGTGACCCCCTACTGTGTCCTGCCCCCACCCCAGCCCCCCACCACGCCATGATCCTCCCTTGTCAGGTACTGTGACCCCCTACTGTGTCCTGCCCCCACCCCAGCCCCACACCACGCCATGATCCTCCCTTGTCAGGTACTGTGACCCCCTACTGTGTCCTGCCCCCACCCCAGCCCCCCACCACGCCATGATCCTTCCTTGTCATGTACTGTGACCCCCTACTGTGTCCTGCCCCCACCCCAGCCCCCCACCACGCCATGATCCTCCCTTGTCAGGTACTGTGACCCCCTACTGTGTCCTGCCCCCACCCCAGCCCTCCACCACGCCATGATCCTCCCTTGTCAGGTACTGTGACCCCCTACTGTGTCCTGCCCCCACCCCAGCCCCCCACCACGCCATGATCCTCCCTTGTCAGGTACTGTGACCCCCTACTGTGTCCTGCCCCTACCCCAGCCCCCCACCACGCCATTATCCTCCCTTGTCAGGTACTGTGACCCCCTACTGTGTCCTGCCCCCCACCCCAGCCCCACACCACGCCATTATCCTCCCTTGTCAGGTACTGTGACCCCCTACTGTGTCCTGCCCCCACCCCAGCCCCCCACCACGCCATGATCCTCCCTTGTCAGGTACTGTGACACTGGTGGTAGAGGTACTGGGAATCAAGGTAGAACACAGAGATCTAATTATTACTCTGTAACGTTTCTCTCGCTACATAAAGTGTGGTGACAATAAACACACTAAGAGACAGCCCGTCCTCCTCCTCCTCCATAAATGGCAAGTAAATGTAACAGCACAAGTAAGTGCAATTATGTACTATTCATAGCAGTCAGGAATTGTACTTATTTTCGCTTAGTATTAAACCGTAGGGTCAATTCTGAGGCTGGGTGGCAACATACACTTGGGCGCGTGTAGTACACAGAAGTGTGCACGTGACACTTGGCGACCACTCGTGTCCAACCCGTTCTCGCACTTGCTTATAGTCAATATTGGCTTATTTAATAAGTGCATATGTGACATACTAATTGATTGTGAATATTTTAGTTTACCTTGAAAAGCTTCATAGAAAACACCGACCTCACCTAACCTTCTTATTATGTTAAGATAAGCATCTTTTTGTTTCTTATTTATAATTATTATTTAACCTATACCGTTGATAGGTTAAGTATCCATTTGCTTCTTAATTACAATTATTACTTAACCTATACTGTTGATAGGTTAAGTAATAATTGTAAATAAGAAGCAATAAGATGCTTATCTTAACATACTAAGAAGGTTAGGTGAGGTCGGTGTTTTCTATGAAGCTTTTCAAGGTAAACTAAAATATTCACAATCAATTAGTATGTCACATATGTACTTATTAAATAAGCCAATATTTGCTCTAAGCAAGTGCGAGAACGGGTTGTGGTGTGATAGAGAGTAGCGTGCTCTGAGAGTCAGTGTTGGATGGTGCAGTAGCTCTCAAGCGTCTCATCTAAACCACTCTTGAAAGTAGACTGATCATTACCCGCTTCTCAATTGTTTACATGACCGGACCTCACCTCATCGTCTTCCGAAGGTTGGAAGGAATGTCAACTGTAATTAGGGAAAAGCTTTGAGTTAGTGGTAGTTTGGAGCGAGTCTATTATTGGCATAATCTACTCGCTACAATTCTAATATACAAACCGCCAGATGCAACAGTTGAGTTGCAACAGTCAACTCTGTGTATCACAGAGCAGATGCACAAAATAGATAATATCCTTGATAACCTAACAAACCCAGTACCAGATATCATCTTCCTCGGAGACTTCAGTCTACCCAGTTTACAATGGAGAATAGTAAACAATAACATTATAGCAGGAAGTCAACCTGGAAATAACCAACCACAGGTCGAGAACTACTGAGATTCTGTGACAAATTCTCGCTCAGTCAACAGATTACAGAACCAACTAGGAACGAGAACACGCTGGACCTGATATTCACGAACAATGATGAACTAATCAGAGACATTACTGTCTCAGACACTACGTACTCGGACCACAAGATCATTGAAGTGCAAACTAACATTAATAACGGTAGTAGGCCCAAGTGACTTCTGAAGCATATGAAGTCTGTCTGAAACATGTTCTGTTGAGGAAAGCCAGAAAGAGGTCCAACATAGAAAGAGAACGCAGACGACACTATAAAATAAAGAAAAATAACGGAAATACTTAAGCAGACACGACTTTCCCTACAAAGAAGGAATAATTTAAACAGGGAGACTGAAGAAGTCGAACAGAGACTGAAGCATTCCTATCAGACTGAAGAAAGGCAACTAGAACAGTAAGCAATTAAAGAAATAAAAAAAAAAAAAATATTTGTTCACACATTTGCTAAATCAAAAGCAAAAACCACTGCTAATATTGAACCTATTCGTACTAGTGAAGGTTCATGCACTGAGGATGACAAAGAAATTAGTAAAATCCTGAAAAAGCAATATTAGGACATGTTTAGCACCCTGATACACAGCATGAAAGTGGAAGATCCGGACAAATTCTTTATTGCGTGATATCCAAACACCTGTAAATATAACTGATATCAACACGAGCGTGGCAGAGTTTGAAAGACAAATTGACAACATGCCCATGCACTCAGCCCCGGGTCCAGACTTATGGAATTCAATATTTATAAAGAAATGCAAAGTGCCAGTAGCACAGGCACTCAGTATAGTGTGGAGGAAGAGCTTGGACACGGGGGAGATACCAGATGCGCTTAAAGCAGCAGACATTGCCCCTCTACACAAGGGAGGGAGCAAAGCATTGGCAAAGAATTATAGACCAGTTGCACTAACGTCCCACATAATAAAAGTATTTGAGAGAGTGATCAGGAGTCAGGTCACTAGTTTCATGGAGACCAATGACCTCCACAATCCAGGCCAACATGGATATAGAGCAGGAAGATCATGCCTCTCACAGCTACTTGACAATTACGATAAAGTCACTGAGGCATTAGAAGAAAAACAGAATGCAAATGTGGTATTCACGGATTTCGTAAAGGCATTCGATAAATGTGACCATGGAGTGATAGCTCACAAAATGAGGTCAATAGGAATAACTGGTAAAGTAGGACGCTGGATACTCAGTTTTCTCTCCCACAGAACACAAAGAGTAACAGTCAACCATATAAAATCGAGTGAAAATCAACCATAAAAATCGAGTTAAAAGCTCTGTACCTCAGGACATAGTCCTTGCACCACTGCTGTTCCTTATTCTCGTATCAGATATAGACAAAAACACAAGTCACAGCTTCGAATCATGATTTTCAGATGACACAAAAATCAGCATGAAAACTACCTCTGCTGAAGACATTGAAGAGCTACAAGCAGATATTAATAAAGTTTTCGATTGAGCAGCAGAAAATAACATGATAAATTCCAGGTACTCAGATACAGTAAAATGAGAACCTTAATCATAATACAGGGTACAAAACACAATTAAATTTGCCCATAGTAGGAAAACAGCATGTCAAGGATTTGGGAATAACGATGTCTGACGACCTAACGTTTAGGGAGCATAACCAAGCAAATATTGCGTCAGCCAGAAAAATGATCGGATGGATTACGAGAACTTTGAAATCCAGGGATCCCATCACAATGGTTGTACTCTTCAAGTCACTTGTGTTGTCCCGTCTTGAGTACTGCTCAGTACTCACTTCCCCCTTCAGAGCAGGAGAGATTGCTGAAATAGAGGGAATACAGAGAACATATACGGCACGCATAGACGAGATAAAGCACATAAATTATTGGGATCGTCTCAAAGTTCTCCAAATGTTCTCACTAGTAAGGAGACGAGAGAGATATCAAATAATATTTACATGGAAAATACTGGAGGGCCAGGTCCCAAATCTACACAGTAAAATAACAACGTACTGGAGTGAACGATATGGAAGAAAATGTAGAATGAACCAGTGAAGAGCAGAGGTGCCATAGGCACAATCAGAGAACACTGTATAAACATCAGAGGTCCAGTGAAGAGCAGAGGTGCCATAGGCACAATCAGAG